GCACAGCAAAGGAAACCATGAGCAAAATGAAAAGACAACCCACTGAATGGGAGAACATATTTGCCAATGATACATATGATAAGGAGTTAATATCCAAAATGTATAAAGAACTTTTACAACTCAACATCAAGAAAACAAACAACCCAATTAAAAAATGGGCAAGGGACCTAACTAGACACTTCTCCAAAGAGGATATACAGATGACCAACAGACATATGAAAAGATGTCTAATGTCACTAATCATCAGAGAAATGCAATTTAAAACTACAATAAGAGATCACCTCATGACTGTCAGAATGGTTATCAATAAATCAACAAACAAGTGCTGGTGAGGATGTGGAATAAGGAAAACTTTGTGCACTATTGGTGGGAATGCATATTAGTGCAGCCACTGTGTAAAACACTATAGAAGTTTCCTCAAAAAATTCAAAATGGAACTGCCTTATGACACAGCAATTTCACTTCTGGGAATAAACCTGAAGAAATCCAAAACAGTACTTTGAAGAAATATATGCACCGCTATGTTCCTTACAAAGTTATTTGGAATAGCCAAGATTTAGAATTAGCCCAAGTGCTTCTCAGTAGATGAGTGGATAAAAAAAGCTGTGGTTCATTTGCACAATAGAATACATCTTGGCCATAAAAAAGGAACTCTTAATTTTGCAGAAGCATGGATGGACCTAAAGGGTATTGTGCTAAGTCAGTGGTTCTCAACCTTGGCTGCACATTAGAATCATCTGGGAATCTTTTTAAAATCCTGATTTCTGGGCCCCATCCTCCAGACATTCTGTTTCTTTGTTATGGGGTGAGGCCACAACATTAGTAACAAAGAAACAGAATGTCTGGAGGATGAGGCCCAGAAATCAGGATTTTAAAAAGATTCCCAGGTGATTCTAATGTGCAGCCAAGGTTGAGAACCACTGCGCTAAGTGAAATAAGCCAATCAGAGAAAAACAAATACCATATGATATCATTTACATGTGGAATCTAATGACCAAAAACACAAAATAGAAACAGAATCATAGATAGTGAACTGACTGACTGCTGTCTGAGGGCAGGAGGGTTGGGGGAGCTGGGTGAAAAAGTTGAAGGGATTAAGCAAAAAGCAAAAAAAAACCTCATAGACACAGGCAATAGTATGGTGATTGCCAGAGAGGAAGGGGGGGTGAGGTAAAGAGGGGATAAATGGTGGTGGAAAGAGACTTGAGTTTGGGTGGTATACTGATAATGTGTTACAGAATTGTACACTTGAAACCTGTACAATTATTTTTTTAATTCATCTTTATTGTTGAAAGTATTACAGATATCCCCTTTGGTTTTTTCCCTCATTGATCCCCTTCACCCTGCACCAGCCTCTCCCAGGCGTTCACCACACTATTATGTCCCTGGGTTATGCATGTATGCATAAGTTCCCAGGTTAATCACTCCCCACCCACCCCTCCACCCCTGCCACCTTCCTTCTGAAATTCTTCAGTCTGTTCCATGCTTCTATGTCGCTGGGTCTATTTTGTTCATCAGTTTATTTTGTTCATTAGATTCCACATGAGTGAGATCATGTGAGATCTGTATGGTTTTATTAACCAACTAGAGGCCCGATGCATGAAATTCATGCAAGAGTAGGCCTTTCTTCCCCCAGCTGCCGGCACCGGCTTCCCTCTGGGACCTGAGACGTGGGCTTCCCTCAGGCCACCGGCAGGCACCCTGGACCCAGGATTCCCTCGCAGCCCTGGTTTTGTCCGGAAGGTCACCCGGAAGGACATTTGGAAGGACATCGGGTCTAATTAGCATTTACGCTTTTATTATTATAGATGTCACCCCAACAAATTCAATTAAGAGAAAAACAAAACAAAACACATATTGACCAGGTCAAATTTGTGGTAGTAAATATAGAATTTTCCAGAAAAGCTAAATATTATTTTGAAAGGTTCTATGAAAGAGGATATTTTTATTTCCTTTGCCATATAAGTAGCCATGTAAATATTAGTGTGTTTCTGTCATCCTTATGTTGCAAGCATTTTACATTTATCCACAGCAGAAAGAAAATTGTTGAAATCATTCCATGTAAATGTAGCTCAAGAAAACAGCATGAAAAAGACCAAAGAGACTTTCCAAGTTTATTTAGTAATGACCTATTCACACCCAAGAAGACATCTTACATCAATTAACCTGAGAGGAAGTATTACATGTGGCCTGGTGAGAACTATTATCCATTTATTTTACTTAATTAAAAAATAAACAGTGTTGATGTTCTATGACTATTCTTTTAAAAAATTGCTCCAAAAAGGAAAAGGCTAAAACTTGATGTAAAGTATTACATCTTTATTTTTACTAACCTCTGATACCTAACATTTCCTAAAAGTATGATTGTAGGTAAAAAACCACAGACATTGTTACTTTGTTACCAATAAACTGATACTTCTGTATTACATTAGACTTGATGTAGCTATCTGGATCTTTTATAGTATCACCACTGGGAAAGTATAGTAGTAAACAGACCCCTCCCCAATAGATATTGAATGCATTCTTAAAGAAGTATACATCACAGCACCACAAATTGTAATAGCTGTAACATTTTGATTACTGTTAGTATTTACAAGGGAGCCAATTAGATCATCTTAAGTGTGTAAAATAACATATGAGTTATTATTTTAGGAGAATTTAGAGAAGATATTTCCCCAGACTGAAGAGAATCATGGCAAACAGACTTACAATCTATTTCAGAGGGAGAGAAAATACTGGGTTCTATGTGTTTCATTTCACTTCCTCTCTCCCCACAATAAGGCTTTTCTTACAAAGTCTCCATCTTTTACTCTTGTCACTCTAATGACCATTTGCTGGCACCAGGCCACTGTAGACACTCTCCTATATTTTGTTTAATGCAACGTATTTAAAGTCAGATTCAACCTCTTCCCTATTCTGTACTGCACCGATTAATGAGCATCCACATACTATTGAAAACCCACTCTTCCTTTCTCACCTTTTCGTTATATGTACACATTCTTTTCCTTCTATCAGCCTAACATTTAAAGAACAAACTTAAGTAAGTCCAGGAGGTTCTGCCTCGACAGATGGTCAGCAATGGATGTGTCGGAGTGAAAACCACGCTTCACTCGTAGCAGAGGCCATGCGGCCACTCCCCGACGCACTCATTGGGCCTCTCTGTCTGACACTTTCAAGTCTCTCAGCTTTTCACAGTAGAGCTCATTTTGCCCAGCAGGTAGACATGCTGTTCTTCCAAGCCCCTCGCTGCAGGAAGGAGTGGCCTCTGGCTTGGGTTCACTTAGGTGTTAATCCCTCCAGTGACCCGCTCTGATCTCTTGGGTCACCAACCACAAACTCAGAAAAACCCATTACATGGCTGCCTGAATGGAGCCTTCGATTGGATCTCAAGAAAACGTCAAAGGACCGGAGGGCGCTTACCAGGCCTCCACAGAGGCTGAAGACCGCTATGTGATCCTCCCGAGCATTGACCTGGCCCCGATAGAAGCAGTGGCGCAAGCCGGGGGACACCGCCCGGCTCTCCTCCGCCCCGCGCGCCGGGGCCCCCAAGTGCACCTCGGTGAAGCCCTCCGCCAGAAAGGCCGCGTCCGCGCTCAGGTTCAGCTGGAACAGCTGCCCGTAGGCGCTGATCCGGTAGTGGGTCCGGAACGGCGGGGGCTCGGGCGCCTCTGAGCTGCGCTTCCTCCGACTGAAGTGGTGGCTCTGAGGGAACACTTCGCCGAACTCATTGACCCGCGTGGGGGTCACCACTTCGTACGAGGCCAGGGTCCTCACCAGCGCTTCTGCAACCACAGGGAAATGGCCATTGAGCGCCCCCCCCACCCACACACACACACACGTGTTTCCAACTCCAACCCCAAAACTTCTTCCACCAAACGTCCCCACCAAAGACCCAAGGTCCCAACTCCCCGGAACACTCCGCAGCGCGACAAATGCACACAGGATGGCGAGCGCGCGCGCACACACACACACAAACACACACACACACACACAAACACACACACACGTGCGCTCTGGGAGTGCGAACCCCCGGCTTTCCCACACCCCCGACTGGCTTCACCCTCCCCGCGCAAAGACCCTGACGCGCCAGGCCCTGAGCAGCCCACCCCCTTCCCCAGCCTCTCCGCTTCCCCCTCCGCCCCCGCCAGCTCGTGCCTGAGGGGCGCACGTGCCCCCCTGCCCCGCGCGCCCCCCTGCCCCGCGCGCCCCCACCGCATGGTCCCCGGAGGGAGTCCTGTGCCCCGCGCACGATTCCTCGAAACCCGACCCAGCGACCACCTCTCGGGATGCTGGGGAGGCCGGCTGACCCGGGAGGCTCCGGAGCCCCTGCAGAGCCAGGGCTCCCCAACCGGCTCCGCCGCTCACCCCCCCCCCCAACTCCGTCCGGGGGTCCCGCTCAGGCCCGAGCCCCCACCTCGCGGCTGGCGGCGCCGCGCGGTGACCTTACCTTGCCGGGGGTGGAAGTGAACTTCCCAAGACCTGGCGATGAAGAGCGAGAGCTGGTAGAGCAGCCCCGTCAGCCACTTGGCCACCCGCATGGTTCCACCCGGGAGATCCCTGCCCGGGAGGCCAACCCCAGCCAGCCGGCTGCCCCGCGCTCCGCGCCTCTCCTCCCTCTCGCCCGCCGCTCTCCGCGCCGGCCGCCGCGGCGCCTCAGCAGCCTCCCGAGCAGCAGCCCCGGCCCCGGGCCGGCCCGTCTCGCCACACCGCCGGCCTCCGCTCCCTGAGCCGCTGCTTCATCGCACTGCAGCCCCGCAGCCCCCTCCTTTTTCTCGGCAGCCTCGCTCCGCTTCCCGCGCCAGCACCGCCCTCAGAAGCCCTCAGCTCAGGTCCAGCTCCGCGCGAGGAAGCGACTCGACCCAGCAGGAACGGTGCCAATATAGCCACCCCGAGCCGGGCCAGCGCGGGGAGAGCCCGCCCCAGGGGCCGGCCCCGGCCAATCAGCGGGAGGCGCGGCCCGGCTCGCCCTCAGGCGCGCAGCCCGCCCCCCAGCCCCGAGCTGCGGGCGGAGTGCGGTCCCCGCGGGCTCCCGCTGTGGGCGTGCAACGTGGGATTTGATTGCCCGGGGTTTCAGCTGGACACCATCCCGGTACCTGTAAAACCCAAGACGGATACCAGCTGCGAGGCCGAGGTAGATCGATGATAAGGGGGGGGCGGGGGGGGGGGGGGTGTTTCAGTTCTTATAATGAAATAAGCATCAGATGGAAAGTTTCTGTTATTTAGGTTTCACGGTCATTTTAGGCTTCTCAAGCGAGATAAAAGAAGCTATAGTTCTTGTAGGCAGCGGATGCTACCAATGAAGCTTAAATGCCCAGGAGTTGTTGGAAATTTAAGAGTGTTGTAGGTGCCGAGGAGAAGCTAAGGTTGCGATCAACAAACACTTCTGAGTGGGAATTTCTGGAAATGGTTTAAAGAAATTCGAAAAGAAAAGGATCTCAGTCTCCAAAGTCCCAGACAAGTTATTGTGATTTTTGTCCTTTGAATATTCATTGTTTGTACTTCATGGGTATATAAAGGGGCCCAAAATTATAAAAACGTCAAGTGCCACAAAATTTGGATCTGCCCCTGCCTATGAGTCAATATTTTTATGAAACTTTCTGATGAACATTTTACTTTTTAAAGACTGATCGTATTTTCTTATATTATAAAATATCTAAATGGCCCTGACGCATCCACAATTACCTTTCTAAACAATTACTGTAGCTCTAAATCCAGTTGTGTCACCTGGTGCCTGTGAAAGTGGATGGACCTCAGGGGGAGCAGAAAGCAATCATCATTTCAGAATTACTTTCTCATTTCCCAGGTCCACCTGTTTGATATGCAGGTTCCATAACTGCTTCTCTGTATAACCAGTATGGGGACAAAAGGGCAGAGAGTAGATTGCCTTGAAATCCAACCAAAGGAGAGAAAGAATGTGAAAGAAAAGGTAAAGGGATGTGTGGGTAAATCTCCACACACACAAAGGAACACACTCTCAATTTAGTCGCTGGCTGTCCTTCCTCCCCTGAGCTCTCAACAATGAGATTTCTGTTTGCTTTGAATTAGCCTCTTGTGGCATACCTCTTTACTTTTACATCATACACTTTGGTCCATCTGTTAGTCACAAATGCGGAACAATCTTATTCAGGGAAGGAGAGTTTCATCTTACTTTTGCCAAGGAAATTACCCAGCTTTGATGGTAATTCTTCCACAATCAATCCCCTTCTTTTGTACCCCTTCCTCACAAGTATCATTTTATTCATCACAGAATTATAGACTTCCGGTGTTTTTATAAGTTAAGCGTACTGTTACTCTAAACAAAAAACAACGGACTTCACCCACACCTGTCTATTTAGTGGTTACCTTCAGGACATTAGCGTTAGAGTCATTTTAATTGCATTGCAGTTCTGAATGCATCTTTACAGTAGAGCCATGCCTCCCCCTACAAATAACAGAAAAATAGAACTGCACCTGTTTAATTGGCTATCTGACTGCTGGCTGCAGGCAAAATAGATATTTCATTTCCATCACTGGATGTCATTCAAAGTAGTGTTTGTAATGGAGTATTTGATTTTCAACCTGCTCTATTTGAAAACACTGTTCTAAGAATAGGGCTTTTTTATTTTTTGCTTTTTTAAAGAAATGGGAAAATGCATGGAATGTGTATTCTCTGCCATTATAATCTTTAGGATCTATAGTAATAAAAGCATAATATGCTAATTAGACCAGAGACCTTCTGGACGAAACCGGGGCTGTGAGGGAAACCTGGGTCCCGGGTGCCAGCAGCCAGGGGAAGGAAGGCCTACTCTTGCATGAATTTCGTGCATTGGGCCTCTAGTGTTTAATAAAGAGCGTTATTTCCCTCATTTAATAGCAGATAAATGTTACATTTTCATATAGTATCTAAGGTGGAGTTACACAAATCCTTTTTTACTCCAATGCCTTTTCATTATACTAGACTATAACTGTTAGGATATTCACATTGTTTGTCTCTCTTCCTGCCTTCTCCCCTACTAATGAAAATGTTACCAATAAGCTAATCTATGCCATTTAAATCAAGCAATTTCCTCACATTGATCATTATAGCCACCACTTATGAAATATTAACAGACTAAGCACTATACATGGGACTTCATAAAGATTAACCCATTTAAATTGCACATTCCCTCTATAGTACCAAGAGAAATTAAATTATTCACTCAGATAACATATCCAGTTAGACTCCAATATCTTTGGTTTTGATTTCTATACTTAAAAAAAAAGATTGTACTCTTCATGCAGGCTCAACTCTGATGCAGCACTGTTATAACCAGCAACTCAGAAAATGGAAGCTATACTTATAAAAAATGTAATTTTGTTTGATTTGTTATTCTAAAGTCGTCATTATAATTACAAACTATGCTATGAGGTTGGCATAGTGTAGAAAAAATATATTTTCAATCTTGCAAGGCAGGAATATGTTAACTTTAGTCACTGTACACAAGATAGATCTTGTTTTGTAATCTAATTCTACCATAGCTAGATGTGTAAATCCAACAATTTACCTAAACTTTATAAGCTTACATTTTATTAATTGTAAATGGAGGTAATAATCATCTCATGATTAAAAGGAATTATACAGGTAACATACATAGCCTAACACTGGGTAAAATATGTGCTCAATTGACATTCATGCTGATTATGATGGTCATTACAATAGGGAACTGAATGTCCTAACCAAAAGGAACAACTATTTGAATACAGACTGCTTTTCTAATATCAGCAGGTAGGAGATAGGATGATCAGTCTTCACTATTTACATAAGACTGGGCCCGGGAGTTTCTATGACTGCTAGACATTCAGTGTTAAAACTTGGAAAGTTCTAGGCAAACTGGATGAATTGGGTCAGCAAGTTCAGGGTTTCTCAACCAAGGCACTATATTGACTTTCTGAGCTAGGTGATTTGTTTTTCGGGAAGAGGGGACTGCCCTGTGAATGGTAGAATGTTAAGCAGCATCCCTGGCCTCTACTCACTGAATGCCAGTAGTACCCTACCCCAACATTTTCATATTGTCAAATGTCCCCTGGGAGCAAAATTGACCCAAGTTGAGACTCCTTGACTTAATAGAGGGAGAGAATTGGGAAATACAAAATGCACACAAATAAATTTGGCAGATCTCATAGATGCTGCTCCATTCTTACTTACAACTAACTGGTCAATAGTTTAGTAAAAAAGTCTTTATATATTGTAGCAGGAGTGAGAAATTATTCATCATTGTAATTAAAATGATACAAGCTGTGGTCATTGTGTTAATAATTTTTAAAGCACTTTTGTTTCCAGATATACAGGAAAGAATCAAATTCTTATGCCCAAGCACTTATTACACTCTGTTCTAATTTTTATTTGCTTATCTGGATTCAACACCAGATTGCAAGGATCATGTGAGGAGAACCTATAGCTAGCCTTTGAGTCAGTATCCCCAGCACCAGATGCCGTGTCCCCATTGAACAAAAATAAATTAAATATTCATTGGATAAATAAGTACTAATATTGAAATTTATATAACCAAGGAGAATTAAACAACTTACCAATCTTATCATCTCTGTCTTTTAATTAGGATATCTATACCATTTATATTTAATATAATAATATGTTTACATTCAAGTTTATTATCTTGCTATTTGTTTTCTATTTTTCCTGTTTGTTCTATTTATTCATTTTTTTTTCCTTTTTTCTGCCTCCTTCTTGATTAACTGAATGTGTTTTATCATTCTATTTAATCTTCTTTGTTAATTAGAACTCTTTCTTTTGTTATTTAGATGGTTTCCCTGGAATTTATAGTATAATTCTTTAACTTATCTCTGTCTACCTTCAAGTAATAGTGTGCCAGTTCAATGTCTTTCCTTCTAACCTTGTGTTGTTGTCACCATACATTTAACTTTCATAGGTTATAAATTCCATATTGCATTGTTGTTATTTTTATTTAAGCAATTATTTTCACCCGATATCATTTTCCTTTTGCATTCAAGGCTTCCTTTAACATTTCTTATAAAATAAGATGATGAGTTCTTCTAACTTGTATATGGTTTTTAGTCTTTATTTGACCATTATTTTTTAAACCTTTTTTTTTCTGGGTATAGAATTCTTTCAATGCTTTAAGAATTTGAGCTACTCTCTTCTTGTTTGAGTTTTCTAACAAAAATAATATGTCATTCTTATCTTCTGTACATAGGGTATCTCTTATAACTGTTTTTAAGATTTTATCTTCATGATTAGTTTTGTGTAATTGTTTTTTATGGTGGGCCTTGATGTGATTTTTCTCGTGTTTCTTATTTATAGAGTTCATTGAGTTTTGGGGTACTGTGAGTTATTATTTTTATCAAATTTACAAAGTTTGGAGTCATTATTTTTTAAATATATCTTTGTTCTCTCCTCTCATTCAAGGACTTGTTATGTAAATTTCTGTGTTTTATTTTGGATAATTTTTATTGTTGTCTTTGAATTCACTAATTTTTTTTTGTGCCATGTCTAATTTACAATTAATACTATTCAATATAGCTTTAATCTCATGTTATAAGTTTATCTCTAGAACTTTAGTTTGGGTCTTATTTATATCTTGCATGCCTCTACTTAACTTTTAAACTTTCAAAATGGAGTTATAATAATTCTTTTATTATTTATTCTAACATATGGGTCATTTCTTCATCAGTTTTGATTGTTGTTGTTGTAATTTTTTTCTTATTTGTATTGGTCATATTTTCTTCCTTCTTTGAAACCCTGATAATTTTTTACTAGGTGTCATGCATTGTCAATTTTGCCCATTTGAGTGCTGGTTATTTTTGTGTTCTTATTCATCTTCTCTATCTTTGCTCTGAGGTGCAATTAGGTTGCTTAAAAATAGCTAGAGCTTTTCTGGTCTTGCTTTTAAGAGAGTAAAGCAGTGCTCAGTCTAAGGATAATTATTTCCTACTATTGAGGCAAGACTTTGCTGTGTACTTTACCCAATGCTTGTGCATCAAAAGGTTTTCCAGTCTGGTTAATGGGAACAGACTCTATTCCTAGCTCCATAAGAGCCAGGGGCACTGCTACTTCTAATTTTTTTAGGTGGTTGTTTCCCTATTCTTGTAGAATTTCTTCACATGTATGTGTACTACTTTGAGACTGAAATATTA